TGTTAAAAATAGTTTGTGAGCAGGATTGAAGCTACAGTTTTCAACCGATTCTGATGAAACTTGGTGTTATCATTGGAATTGATAAGATCTCGGACAAGTTCTAACTTGACGCATTTCCGATGAACGTTTTTTGAGTTATTGCCCTTGACTTTGTAAAAACACGTCAAAATTTGTTAAAAATAGTTTGTGAACAGGATTGAAGCTACAGTTTTCAACCGATTCTGATGAAACTTGGTGTGATCATTGGAATTGATAAGATCTCGTACAAGTTCTATTTTGACGCATTTTCGATGAACGGTTTTTGAGTTATTGCCCTTGACTTTGTAAAAACGCGTTGATATTTGTTAAAAATAGTTCGTGAGCAGGATTGAAGCTACAGTTTTCAACCGATTCTGATGAAACTTGGTGTGGTCATTGGAATTGATAAGATCTCGGACAAGTTCTACCTTGACGCATTTTCGATGAACGGTTTTTGAGTTATTGCCCTTGACTTTGTTAAAACGTGTTGAAATTTGTTAAAAATAGTTTGTGAGCAGGATTGACGCTACAGTTTTCATCCGATTCTGATGAAACTTGGTGTGATCATTAGAATTGATAAGATCTCGGACAAGTTTTAATTTGACGCATTTTCAATGAACGGTTTTTGAGTTATTGCCCTTGACTTTGTAAAAATGCGTCAAAATTTGTAAAAAAATAGTTCGTGAGCAGGATTGACGCTACAGTTTTCAACCGATTCTGATGAAATTTGGTGTGATCATTGGAATTGATAAGATCTCTTACAAGTTCTATTTTGACGCATTTTCGATGAACGGTTTTTGAGTTATTGCCCTTGACTTTGTAAAAGCGCGTCAATATTTGTTAAAAATAGTTCGTGAGCAGGATTGAAGCTACAGTTTTCAACCGATTCTGATGAAACTTGGTGTGATCATTGGAATTGATAAGATCTCGGACAAGTTATAACTTGACGCATTTTCGATGAACGGTTTTTGAGTTATTGCCCTTGACATTGTTAAAATGCTTGGAAATTTGTTAAAAATAGTTTGTGAGCAGGATTGAAGCTACAGTTTTCAACCGATTCTGATGAAACTTGGTGTTATCATTGGAATTGATAAGATCTCGGACAAGTTCTAACTTGACGCATTTCCGATGAACGTTTTTTGAGTTATTGCCCTTGACTTTGTAAAAACACGTCAAAATTTGTTAAAAATAGTTTGTGAACAGGATTGAAGCTACAGTTTTCAACCGATTCTGAAGAAACTTGGTGTGATCATTGGAATTGATAAGATCTCTTACAAGTTCTATTTTGACGCATTTTCGATGAACGGTTTTTGAGTTATTGCCCTTGACTTTGTAAAAACGCGTTGATATTTGTTAAAAATAGTTCGTGAGCAGGATTGAAGCTACAGTTTTCAACCGATTCTGATGAAACTTGGTGTGATCATTGGAATTGATAAGATCTCGGACAAGTTCTACCTTGACGCATTTTCGATGAACGGTTTTTGAGTTATTGCCCTTGACATTGTTAAAATGCGTGGAAATTTGTTAAAAATAGTTTGTGAGCAGGATTGAAGCTACAGTTTTCAACCGATTCTGATGAAACTTGTTGTGATCATTGGAATTGATAAGATCTCGGACAAGTTCTAACATGATGCATTTTTGATGTACGGTTTTCGAGTTATTGCCTTTGACTTTGTAAAAATGCGTCAAAATTTGTTTGTGAGCACAATGGAAACTACAGTTTTCAACCGATTCTGATGAAACTTGGTGTGATCATTGAATTTGATAAGATCTGGGACAAGTTCTAACTTAGTTCTAACTGACGCATTTTCGATGAAATGTTTTTGAGTTAATGCCATTCACTTACGAAAAACGTGTCAAAATTTGTTTGTGAGCACAATAGAAGCTACAGTTTTCAACCGATTCTGATGAAACTTGGTGTGATCATTGGAATAGAGAGGATCTCAGACAAGTTCTAACAAGAGATATTTTTGATGAACATTTTTTGAGTTATTGCACTTGACTTTGTAAACACGCATCAAAAGTTGTTTTTTGCCCTTGATTAGAGCTGTGTGATTTAATTGTTTGTTGTATTTGGGTTATTGATATTGATTTTAAAAAATTTTGTGGAATTATTCAGCATAAATAATTTCTTCAATATGAGAAAATTCGTACTTTAGTCACTAAAGACTGTTTTATTATTTCTGACAGCTGCCAGTGGGCGTATGTTACCTTGCAACGCAAGCTATCTTGACTTGAGCCGATACGAGCTAAAATAAGGCTTCTGCAGACTTCTTCCATATTAAAAATGGTCACTAAGCAGGCTCAGTTGTTGTTCAGAAAGCTACTTCTAAGTAGATCAGATCTAAGTTATTTTGGATGACACAAAATGTTTTACTATACATTAGCCTCACTGTCAATTTCTCAAAAAGTACTAACATTTCTGCCAGTTTCATCTTATTGAAGTATGTTATGAAGAGCTCCCATGTTAGGAAGGAGAATTTTTGAAATTGATCTCTAGTGTTCAGTTGTCATTTTGAGTCTGAGGTTTATTATAAATATTAATGTCTGAAGTATATTTTTATGTCTTTCTGAAACTCCACAAATCTGAGTTCATATCAATGAATATTTTGTTTTCAAAGAAATTTGTTTTATTCTTGTGCCACAATTCTCTAATCATGTTTTTTTATTATTTAGTGCTGTACATACTCTTAAAACATTTTTCCACAGGGAACAAAAACTGTCTGTATTTAAATAATTTTTACAACAGCTCGCGAAATAGCTCCATCCTCCAAGGTCTGAAATAAAACTTAGTGACAACAACAAAGAAATCTTCGAGCACAAACAGTTTCATCAGTCACAATATTCATATGTGCATGTGATTTGGAAAGTAGGAAAAATATGGTCAATACCTTGAAGCCATACATTAATTGGCACATATATATGAATTCCTCAAAACTTTTAGGGTTATTTAGCTTTAACATCATCTGTTTCTTTGAGATGTTAGAAATGATGTAACACATGGAAATGGTAACAGCTGAATTTAAAAAACTACTATCAAGTAACATGCAATAATTGTTACTTACAATATGTTAGATATTATAATTTCTATTGTTTGGTAGATAATAGTCTGTTACAGTGAATGAAAAGTGTTATTTCAAACTTGGTCAGTGCCATTTGTTTTGCTCTAGTTTAATAAATACAACCTCTTTTGATTGTATATTGAAACAATCAGAAAATGTAAACAATGACAATAATTTTGAGAAGCTTATCAACTTTTATTTGAATAATATTTTTACACTTCCAGACTTTCAATGATAGCTGTGCAGAATGGACTATTTCTATATTCTAATGACTACTGGTAATTGGATGTTCCAGTCTGCTGAATTTACATGAACCAATTCCATAACCTATTAAAGACAATTTTTTACTGAAAAGATTTGTCGTAGTAAGATTGTTCTATTGATATGGCAAATTTTATTGGGCTCTTTGTCTGTGATTGATAGGATGAATTTTTATTATGCTCACTGTCTGTTCACAAGATGTTTTATCTCATTTCTTGTCGTGACTGAGAAAACTTGATTAATTTTTTTATCTAGTAGATTGAAGACATACAATTCTTGCCAACTTTGATTAATCCAATATATTTTAAGCCGTGGACAAGGAAAGATACAGTTTGTGATATTTTAAAGATGGAATTTGCCACCGAATTCACTAGGGTTTGTTGGTGTAACACATATTAAAAAAGATCAGTTAAAATAATGGTCCCAGAGGAAATGTTATAAGATTTTATTTGATCTGGGAGCAAGATTATGATTCAAACATGCGTATTGAAAATATAATTTTAGATCATGGACGCCATTACTTCAAAATTTCTTATATTTGTCTTTCATTTTGTATCCATCAGCCTGTTATTACTGATAGACCAGCTCGAGTATCTGACAATGATAAGGCTCTGTCAGACTTTGAGTAGGCCTATAGGTTTAGGTTTCAGGTTTCGTTTCAGAGAAAATGAAATTCCATGGTGATGATAAAACCTACATTCTCAACCACAGATAAACCTATCTACATTCTCAACCACAAAACAAACATGACTGGCAAATACAACATGATACAGTGAGTGGTATCTTTAAACAGTATTTATATTATTGGCACCTAGAGTCAAAACATGTGTAAAGAATGAAGTAAGTTAATGAAAACACTCAGGAAAGAAAATAAAATACACCTTAAGTCTCACCTTTACTGAGAACTCAAATAACTGACTAAATTATTTTCTTACTTTCATTACCACACATACTTCAACTTCTTCTCCCCACGGTTAGTATTGGTGTCACATAACTCTCATATTTTTACACAAAATGGTAAGATAATAGGGGTATTAGTTTGTTTTCAATCTTTAGCTTGTATAACTCCTGGAGATAAAATTCTGGACTGATTTAGACGAAACTTGTTGAATATATAAAAAAAATCTTTGATTAATATTTCATTTATTGATAGCTCTTGTGAACTTGGCTGCCTTTATAATGGTGTGTGTATTACGATGGCCATTGCTATATTTAGACATTCTATGACAAATGCTTTGCATATGTATTTCAATGAGGTACAGATTAGATAAATTCTTGGAAATGCTGGTCATGATATTTTGACTTTAACACCCTGCAGAACAGTGAGAATCAACAACTGGTGCCAAAGTTGATCCTTATAATTCAAGTTATTGTTAATTCTTTCTATCAACATAACTGGAGCATCTGATTTTTTTTATTTTTAAGCAAAAGTTTAGCTTTTACCTTCTGTCATTCTTAGTGCAGTAACCATTTCACTTCATATTTCTGACAATTTAGCCCTGTTTAACTCAAATTTCTTAATATTGATAGATAACAGTAAATAATTCACCATTGAAGTTAACATTACTATTAGGCTATAGCCAGTCAAACAAGTCCAACCTCCTCTTGGAATAATCATTCATTTTTGTCTCTGTGACTTGCTTATTCTATCATTGATGGAAAAGGAATACTGAGGTTCACTTCGTGTATTGTGTTTACTGTTGGACTGTTTCATTTGAGAACTTTTTAGAAATAAGTTTCCAGACACAAGGGACTGTAGCAGGAAAGTTAATAAATGTTTTATTTTTCTGTGAAATATAAATTTTTTAAAGTGGTAAGTGAAATATCTTCTTCAATTTGACGATACATATCTTTTTAAACAACTGATCTTATTATTTATATGTGTAATGTAATATAACCAAGAACATAGTGTAATAAAAGCTTTCAAAGTTTCAAATTTTAACCTACATTTTTTAATTCTGTTTTTCCTTTGTGAATGATGCTGTTTGCAGGCAAGATATTATGATTTTTGACTATGTATGGTAAATAAAAAGCACAGTTTGAAATGGAAATGAGAATCATGCCCATGTAACAAAAATATTTTTACAAATTGATCACAGAAATCTATGTTTCATCCTATGACAGTATATAGCAGTTACAAATATGGCTAAATCTCTGCATTAATAGAACTATTTCCTTAAATAGTGTTTGAAAAGAGTTTCAATACTTAGTAAATGAGTCAATACTTTTTCTATGATGAGCATCTCTGAAATGAGTTAATGATGAATACTAATCACTTTATAATTTGATAATTGGTTGCCCATCAAAGCGGCACAGAAATGGAAACCGGATCAACAAATTAAAAAACAATTTTACTTAATAGATATTCTCTTTCAAGTTTAAAGATTGTCTTCCACCAGTTGAACAAAATCAAAAGTTGACAAGGAAAGTGTTATGTCTACGAAGAACAACACTAATCTGACAAAAAATGGCACTTTCAGCTTAATTAGATGAACAAGAACATATTAAAGAATTAACTAAAAAGATATATAGATCATATTACACATAGAGCAAATAATAGCATATACAATATTATGTGAAAGAATATGATAAATGGATTTAGGGCCATGAATAGCATGGGTTTGGAGAACATGAGTGCAAGTATAACAGATACGATGACCAACTCCATGTGCCGAGAGGTGATGTGACTATGCGAATTCTAACCAAATGATTAGAACGTCTTTTATCTTATGCATCCAATGCTGTAATTGATGAGTTTAAAATTCAATGAGATGATATGATGTCTCATGTGTTTAGACAAGAGGAGACATTCAGTCTGAAAGAATCAATGAAAAGTTTTTACAATTCCATTCATCTCAGAATATAGATGATTATCCAACAAAATCTTAACACATTCATGTGAAAATGTAAGCCTTAAACTTGATATGATGTGGTATATCAAGCATTTTTATTTGTGAAATGAGTTTTATGTTCTTTTGTGAATCTATTTTGGCTAATGAAGACAATGTGGCTGAAAAGAGCACCTTAATATAAGTGAATATTTTCTTGAATCAAAGGTAATATGAAGTTTTTCTTGCTATGAGTGTGACAGATTTCCAAAATAAATAGGACATCTCCAGTCCAAAATTTGATTTCAATGTAATCTTTTTTTTTATTAAATTATTGCTTTTTAGGAATAGTCAACTTTGAATTATTTTTTATCAATGATGATTAAAAGAAAAAAATTTTACAAGTTTTTGTGGTAGTTTGTTTGTGTTAAAAATCAAATTAAAGTCACTTACCATTGATGCATGAAAGACACCATTGTCATAATAGAGGTGGGGATATGTCATAGTGGCTAGAAAAACTAATGATCTAACATCCTTCATAATATCATAACCCTAGCAATAGATCATAATTCTTTGCATCAAACATTCTTTTAAACTAAATATACAATTGTTTCTTCAATAAATAGGGACATAGGTCTTGGAAACAGTAGATGTCAAGTGACTATAAAACCAATAAATTGCAAATCTTAAATTTTTTCTTTATTCTTTTGGAAGAAATATAGCTGGTTGTGGCCGCCCTATAATAAATTATGCTGAAAGATCAGTTACCGGTATTTAATGTCTCGATTCACGTTACATGCCAGCCATATTGCTTTGTTTACATTTTTATGTACAACGTGACGTCATAATCTCGCATAATCGTGCATGCCAATACAAATGGCAGTTCCCACGAACTAGCTATTTAGGCTTAAAATGCTGTAAATAGTTTTTTTGTTTGATCCTGTGGGTACAAAATTGAAATATTGTTATTTTTTAAAGGGTATTTTTTTACCAGAAAACTTGGATTTCATCATAAAGCTGACTATTCCTTTAAAGTATTATCTTTCATAAATATTAACTTTTTGTTGTGTTTGTTTATCCCAGGCCAATGCTATTGATATGTTTCTAAGTTGAATTAAAAAAGAGCCCATTTTTATTCCGCATTTATTAATACAATTCATTTGAGATTGAATTCCAGCTGTATCTGAATACAGTCCGGAAACTATTAAGATTTAATGAAAAGTATTGAGTGACAGAGTAAAATCTATAATTTTAATCAAAATGTAAATACCATCCCAATCAATTTGATATTTATAAATAAAGAAAAGGTTGTAAAGGAAATAGATGTTTTTGTATTGAGGGTTAGGTCTAATGTCTTAATCTTAGATTCTTTTGGGCATCTCAATGTTAATTTAAAGCAGTGTGCTCATAGCTAAAGACTCATGTGGATATACAAATAAATGACTTGGCAAGGTGATAATGATTGTTGGTGAGGAGAAAATGGGAGCTGTAATTTTTAAACTTGCTTGTTTCCTTAAAAGTTTGAGAGGCAGTAACTTCTAATTGCTATCAAATTTATTTTGTCAAAGGCAATTACCTATTAAAAGTCTCCATATTATAAAGAATGCTCAGTTAATTTGTTATTCAAATCCTTTTTCTGTGCTGTGCACTAAATGTTGCTGTGCTAGACAAAAACAGTCCAGATATTTATGATGCAGATTAAGTGTGAATGATTTTAAAGGTATGTTTATCATGATATTGAATAAAGGATTCCAACTAAAACAATCTCAAGGGTTGAAAGGGTTACATTTGAGGCTTAAGGCAAAAATATCACCCTCTATTCCATTCATCAAGATTGTGAATTGAAATGAAGTGTAAAGGAAGAGTCTGATGTGAATTAAACCTACTGTAGATTAGTTTATTCCAGACTGTCATTGGGTTTATACCACGGTACTCGTTTCTCAATTTTCTTATTCTACTACACTCGATTTACTCTTTCTTTAAGCCTTGTGGTTTCTCTATATTTAACGTTGGGTTAGCCTCAAGCTTTTCTAGTCTAGGAAATTTTATGATGTCTGTATTAAATGATAGATAATGAAATAAACTATTATCAATTATTAGTTGATAGGGGATGAAAGCCAATGAAGGTTTGCTTGATAGTAGCCTACTTGTTGTGATGTTGAAAAATTTCATTGACTGAAGAGATAGTGTAACTTTCTGAACTTGATTATCAAACAGACAACTTTTATTAATTCAAATTATTTGATGCAAATAAATGTTGTTTATTTTATATCTCAAACAAAAATTCTTATTGACATAACATATATCATTATGTCCCATTTAATGAGTCAAACAATTACTGTGACATTGGCTTCATCTTGACCCTTCTGATATAGTAACATGGTAAAATTTATGTGTTTATCCAGACGTTTTCCACATGATATTTTTTAAGTGACATGAATCTTTAGGAGAGACATATTTTGTCTGTCTTGGAATAAATAATTGTTAATCAATTTTGTATCTGCTAAAAATTCAGAAATAAATATCTTCTGAAAAATATAAATATATTCACTCAAATAGATTAATTGTCAATAGGAACTGACAATTTAAAGTTTTTTCCTTTTTTTTCCAAAAATGGTAACAGAATAAAATGTAGTGTAATTGTGGTCTCTGTTTGTGTCTCATATGTTAAGGACCATTTGGATCACATAATTTATTCTTCCTTTCTCTTCTTTTCTACTTAACTGCATTACTTCCTATTGGCTCTTCATCTTGTTACCATTCTTCATTCTACAATAAAGCAACTGCATTTAATAAAGTTGACGGCTACTTTTGGTTTATTGTGAAGTGTTCTTACTAAGGAAGGAAGAGTGGGTAGAATTTGATTAGCATCGTTTAAGCGGGTGATTTTCTCAATGTCAATAGATAATAGAATAGAAATAGATTTATTGGCTGAAATGGACAGACATATCGAAACTTTATATCGACTTTGTGGATGGACTAAAGTTGATATCAATGATAGAAACCTTAGAACCAGCAAGTCGTGATCCTAAAATCTGAAACAGGCATTGATAGAACCTTGATTTAGTTTTACCTTCTTCACCAGCAGACTTCAGATACATTACCTTCCCTTATACTCTCCCAAAGATGTTCTTGTAATAATGGAAAGAAAAAAAACTTACTGTTATTTATTAGACTGAAAATCAAGTTTGATAACGAACCACAACACTCTGTTTCTCTGGCCTATCAATAACCTCCCAGAATGTTACAAATTAAAATATTAATAATAGATGACCCAGGAAATATTCCTATAGAGGAGTATTGACATATTCACACTAGGTTAATGTCATCTTTGAAATGGCAGGGTGAAAGTGGGTTCAATCACACTCATCTCAAAGCTCAAATGGTATCAATTTACACATTAAGAGACCTTCAACATATGAAATATCATGAAGCTCAAGTAGCTTCTTCTGGAAATTGATATTAAAGCAGTGCTGATTATATCTTGCACTGAAATCAGTTGAAGTTGGTTTATATACAAAATGTTGGATTATATTACTGATGGATGGTTTCATAGTTCTAATCAATGTGCTTCAGCATTGTTGTAAACCATGTTTTTAGATTTGGTATAATCTGACTTATAAGATTGTTCCTCTCTACACTAAAATTGATAAATATTAACTTACTGAATATTGTTAACTATTGTAGACTCGCTGAATGGGATGCTCAAATAACTGAAATCATTGATGTGACACAGCCACCAAGTCACCTGGACCTGATAGTTAGGAGTTGTATAATTTGCTGATATATGGTTTTAATATTTAGAGTTTTGGAATATTCTGTAATGTAAAAAGTTAAGTTACGTGAAAGTCAAGTCGGCTGACTGTTATTTGCCTAGTTGTGTAACATCAGTCTGAATTATGATTATTAGATATATTCATAGTAAATATAATCAATATCATAGCAGACCAGTGGTAATCATACTTATTATACCAATTGTGTTCAGATTGGTCTTCAAAAAATGTGGCTTGTTATACAGATATTGTAGTTATCCTTGATTCTATTCAATTTGCATTTAATCGTCATCTTTTTTGTGGAGTCCACAAGCTTTAATTGATATTTATTTAGTTTATTGTATTAATGTAGGGTTGATGAAAATAATTGTCAATGATCTTGATTGGTATAGAACAGTGATATATAAATTCATTTGCTTGAAAATAAAGTTACCAATCAATAATTTCAAAACAATTTGTATTCTGACAAAAATAATTCTAATAATGTGTTG